TTGGAAAACAGTGGAATTGGACACTGCGCCAGTTTGGTGTCGTGGTTAAGTGCGCAGACTCTTATCTGGGAGAACTGGGTTTGATTCCCCACTCCTCCACTTCCAGCTGCTGGATGACCTTGGGCAAGCCATAGTTCTGTCAGAGCTGTTCTCTCAAGGACGGTTCTGGAAAGAGCTCTCTCAGACCCGCCGCCGCTCTGAGTGAAAGGCAGGGTATAAATCCAGTCTCCTCGTCTTCCCAAAAGAATTACTCTGAAGTTGGAGGCATATCAAGCAGATGGCTATTTGTGGCTATCGAGTGATCTATAGGGCAAACCTACTGAACAGCGATGTGATGAATGCCGTCTCCTCCCCTAAATGGGAGCGAATTGTGTTTACAAGTGAGTAGTGGGGAACAGAGAAAATGAACTGGATTTAATCAGTTCCGGAAGGCAGCCACTCCGTTCTGCAGCAGAGCACCTAGATTCGAGTCCAGCAGCACCTCAGAGTCCAATGACATTTTCGGGGCTTCAGCTTTCGAGAGACAAAACTCCTCTTTGTACAATCTGAGGAAGGGAGCTCCGATTTTTGAAAGCGCGTACCCTGAAAATCTTGTCAGTCTCCCAGGTGCTTTTTGTTGTTCAGTCGCACAGTCGAGTCCAACTCTTTGCGACCCCATGGACCAGATCACGCCAGGCCTTTCTGTCTTCCGCCGTTCTCTGAAGTTTGCTCAACTTCATGTTCATTGCAACTATGACACTGTCTAACCATCTCATCCTTTGCCATCCCCGTCTTCTTTGACCTTCAATCTTTCCCAGCATCAGGGCCAATTAGCACCTGGAACATAAGAGAAGCCACTGTTGGATCAGGCCAATGGCCCCTCCAGTCCGACACTCTTTTGTCACACAGTGGCCAAGAATACCAGGGGCCATCAGGAGGTCCAGCAGTGGGGCCAGGATACTAGAAGCTCTTCCACTGTCCCCCCCCCCGCAACCACCAAGAATACAGCGTATCGCTTGCTTTTGTTGTTCAGTCGCACAGTCGAGTCCGACTCTTCGCGACCCCATGGACCAGCTCCCGCCAGGCCCTCCTGTCTTCCGCTGTCCTCTGAAGTTGCTGGACTCAAAATCTAGCTCAATTTAATCGAACATGGAAGAAGGTCTGAGCAAGACTGGATAAATCCCCATTACGTTCAAAGCCCTACTGCGTGCCCCACTTATCCCAGAAGGTCACAACCATACGTTTCATGTAGTTGGACCTGCCAGTGTCTCAGCCCACGCTTATGTGCCTAAAAACACTACAAAACATGCCCACCGTGATAACCCAAAGACAATGGGGAACCCTTAGTGTAAAAGTATAGCCACAAACAACACCCACCAAGGAAAGACCATCTACAATTCGCAACTATCAACGGTGGTTGGTAAAACGGAACCCAATTTCCAAAATAACATCGGCACCACTCAAAAGCTTAGAATCATAGAATGTTAAGAGTTGGAAGGGACCTTGCAGGTCATCTAGTCCAACCCCCTGCACTCTGCAGGAGCATAGCTGAAAGATAGCCTTACATACCTACAACATGCCCGAAAGATGGTCATCCAGCCTCCGCTTGAAAACATCCAGCGAAGCAGCATACACCACCTCCCAAGGCAGACTGTTCCACTGCTCAACCACTCTTACACTTAGGAAGTTTCTCCTGATATTTAGCCAGTATCGACTCCCTTGTAATTTCCACCCATTAGACCTAGTCTTGCAATTCGGAGCAAGAGAGAATAGATCTGCTCCATCTTCTACATGACAGCCCTTTAAATACTTGAAGACTGCAATCATGTCCCCTCTAAGCCTCCTCTTTCCCAGGCTAAACAGACCCAACTCTTTCAGCCTTTCCTCCTAAGACTTGGATTCCAACCCTCTCACCATCCTGGTTGCCCTCTTCTGGACACGCTCCAGCTTGTCAACATCCTTCCTAAAATGCGATGCCCAAAACTGGACACAGTACTCCAGGTGGGGCCTGACCATAGCAGAATAGAGCAGAACTACCACCTTGCATGATCTGGACACGATGCTTCTGTTAATGCGTCCTAAGATTGCATTAGGTTTCTTCACAGTCACATCGCACATCATTGAAACACTTGATTTATACCAGGGAGAGGCGTTCGGCTGTTATTCTTTCCACAGTGGCAGTCTTCTGTTGCAGTTACTTTCTGTTTTGGAGGTCTACGGACACTATCTATGTATGGAATTGCAGAAGAGCCAACTGTTGGTTTCGAATATGTTCTTTTTTAAAACTATGTTTAGTTGTCATGAGCAACCTGTTGGGTCAATGTCTATGCACTCTATTGGGTTGTGACCACTAACCCTTCTTTGTATCTCAGTGAATGTAATATATAGTTTTGAACATAATCGTGAATTGTAGATGGTCTTCCCTTGGTGGGTGTTGTCTGTGGCTACATCATGATAACCCAGCTAGGCTTCAAGGTCCCACCCTCTACCCCTTTGGTTATGTGCATACTAAGGGGCCAAACCACACATGTGAGCACAACCTTACAAAGATTCATCACGGTAAGTCTGTCTCGGGTCTAAGACAATGCTCCCTCTAAGCTGTGGAGTCTTGTGTGCAAAAATTCTGCTTTGTGAGCTACTGGCATTAAAGTGGTGAGTGAGTGATTTGGCTACTGCATTAATTAGTCTGCTCTGGAGCCATCCTTCCTGAGCTAAGACAAAAATGTGTGAGCTGGAGGCTAAAAAACTGTGAGCTGGCTCACACTAACTCAGCTTAGAGGGAACACTGGTCTAAGAGATCCACGAAACCCTGAACAAGCTGAGACTGTGACCTCATCTCCTGGTGAAGGCAAGACCAGACATAAGTAACATTAACCAGGTTTCCGCTAAAGTCAGTTGCTGGCTTTTTAAAAAAACACTATGTAAAAACAATTTTTTGTTATATACCGTACAAGCAATCCCAGTAAATAGATGAAGATGGGTAGCCATGTTTGTCTGTCTGTAGCAGTAGAAAAGAGCAAAAGTCCAGCAGCACCTTAAAGACTAACAAAATATGTGGCAGGATATCCCAGTTCCGCAGGGCCTGCAAGACGGAGCTCTTCCGCCAAGCGTTTCAGATGCCACAATAAATTGCCTAACATCAGCCGAGTCACCCACACCCTATAATCCACTCTTGGCCGCCTGCTCTAACATCCGTGCCCATACTAAGGAACCATGTGCGAAGGAGACAGACACCAGCCATAGATTCCCCCACTGTGGCCAATAAGGATAGCCTTTTTGCCATCATATATATGTTGCACCTTCTGAATTTGTTTTTATGATTTTAATTTGTTCTTATTGTCTTTATTTTTTTAATGCTGCCAATGTGTCTGTAAGCCGCCCTGAGCATGCTTCGGCGGGGAGGGCAGGGTATAAATTAAATAAATAAATACAGTGACACAATTTCTGACTCTCTTGATAACAAATCCCAGTAAACTGTAACAATTTGTGAATGTCCGGATAACAAATGAATTAAATATCATCACTGAGATTCTGCAGTAAGAGGTGTTGTTTACAAGGGAAGCTTATTACAGGTATGTGTAAGCCCTTTCCCCATTTTCTCAACATCCCTCATTACAACCCACTCAAATGCTAAAATATTAACATTCGGGCGGGGGGGGGGGACATACGACATCTTGATGTTTGCACACTTTGCTACGACCAGCAACTTCCTTCACATCACTGATCCAGAGCTTGCATTAAGCAATAAGCTCATACCCTGTATAAATTAAATAAATAAATAAAGTGTCACAATTTCTGAATCTCCTGATAACAAATTCCAATTAACTGTAACAATTTGTGAATGTCCTGATAACAAATGAATTAAGTATCGTCACTGAGATTCTGCAGTAAGAGGTGTTGTTTACAAGGGAAGCTTATTACAGGTATGTGTAAGCCCTTTCCCCAGTTAAGAACATAAGAGACGCCAATGTTGGATCAGGCCAAAGGCCCATCCAGTCCAACACTCTGTATCACACAGTGGCCAGAAACACCAGTGCCATCAGGAGGTCCACCAGTGGGGCCAGGACATTAGAAGCCCTCCCACTGTTGCCCCCCCCCAAGCACCAAGAAGACAGAGCATCACTTGCCCCAGAGCCCCTATTTATACTATGTGGCTAATAGCCACTGATGGACCTCTGCTCCATATGCTTATCTAATTCCCTTTTGAAGCCGTCCAATGTCCCTCATTACAACCCACTCAAATGCTAAAATATTAAAATTCGGGGGGGGAGGGACATATTGATGTTTGCACGCTTTGCTACGACCAGCAACTTCCTTCACATCACTGATCCAGAGCTTGCATTAAGCAATAAGCTCATACCCTGTGACAAATTTTGTCAGTCTTTAACGTGCTCCTGGACTCTTTCTCTTTTCTACTTCCGTGAAGATAGCTTCAGAGGGTAGCTGTGTCGGTCTCCAGTAGAACAACTAGATCCAAGTCCAGTAGGCACCTAAGCGGCCAACAAGATTTTCGGGTTACGAACTTTCGAGAGCCAGAGTTCTGGGAGCTTTGACACTTGAAAATTCATACGCCGAAATTCTTGTTGATCTCTACAATGCTACTGGATTTGAATCTAACTATGCCTCGATTGTGGTGCTGTGAGTCCGTGCTACAATGATGCCTGGTAACAAAGGAAGAAGAAGAGAGAAGAAGAGGAGATTGGATTTATACCCCGCCCTTCACGCGGAGTCTCAGAGTGGCTCACAAACTCCTTTCCCCTTCCCCTCCTCACAACAGACACCCTGGGAGGTAGGTGCGGCTGAGAGACCTTTTTAGAGAACTGCTCTTTCAAGGACAGCTCCGACAGAACGATGGCTTGCCCAAGGTCATCCAGCAGCTGCAAGTGGAGGAGTGGAGAATCAAACCCAGTTCTCCCAGATTAGAGTCCGCACACTTAGCCACTACACTAAACTGGAAATAACAGAATGGCGGTCCTGCATGGCCACATGCGTGTGTATCTGTGTGCGGATATGACACTCACCTGATGTTCCTTCTGTTTGGCGGCCTCGAGCTCCGAGAGAGAGTGCGTGAGCTTTTCTTGCTGCTCGGAGAGATACTTCTGATAGAGGCTCAACAGCTCCTGGCATTCTCTGTATTGCTGCTGCAGGGGTGAGACAGCGAGTTAAGGATAAAAACGTTTCTCGAGGAAGAGTGGGGGGGGGACAGAACCAAACTCAAAGCAATTTAGTCTGCAAAAATCCTGTTTGGCTGCCTGGGTGAGGGAGAAAGACGACACTTAAACACTTTCAAAATCTCTAGAAACAAAAGGTGATGGCTGCGGTGGGCAAAAGATGTGTCACTCCTTAGCTATTCCAAATTCAATGCAAGAATGTGTGTCAAGCATTACTCAGTTTTGCTTCGTAATTTTGGCCATGTAGAGCGGGGGTCCCCAACCCCTTTGAGCCTGTGGGCACGTCTGGGATTCTGACACAGGATGGTGGGCGCAGCCACAAAATGGCTGCTGCAGGAGGCGGAGTCAGGTAGCCAGTGGCGGCTGCAGCTTATCTTCACTCACACAGTGAAGATCCTTGCGCTGTGGTGGCAGCAGCTGCTGAACCAACACTTTGAAGAAATCCACACAGCCAATTAAATGTCCAATGGCCCATTAGAAACCATGCTGCGCAAAAGCCCCACCTGGCTCCATCCGCTTTCTATAAACAGTTGGCAGGTGCCAGGAGAGGTGCCCACGGGCACCACGTTGGGGACTCCTGATGTTCAGACTTCCCAATTTATAAGTCCCCCCTTTTCAGGGCAAAATGATGTCAAGCATCCTTCCCCCCCCCCCCCCCCCCCCCACCACACAGAGTGGGTGACTCCAACCTTCTTGAGCCTGTGGGGGCACCTTTGACATAACATGGTGGATGCAGCCACAAAACGGCTGTCATGAAATGGCTGCCGCAGGTTACCTTCAGTCACAACAGTGAAGATCTTTCTACAGTGGTGGCAGTTGCTGCCGTTGCAATTTTTTTAAAAGTCTGCTCAGACAAACAAATCTTTAATGGCCACTCATAAAGCCCTGCTGGGCAAAAGCCCCACCTAGCTAGACCCACGTTCTAAAAATGCTTGGTGGGCGGCAGGTGTTAGTGGGCACCATGGGGCACACTGGGACCATGCTGAGAACCCCAACATACAGCACTGTGCCTCTCAACTTTGGCTAACACTACCCATGATAATGGAGGAGGAGGAAGAGGAAGAAGAAGAAGAGGAGGAGGAGGAGCAAGAGCAGGAGGAAGAGAAGAAGAAGAGTTTGGATTTATACCCTCCCCTTCACTACCCAAAGGTGTCTCAGAGCGGCTTACAAACTCCTTTCCCTTCCCCTCCCCACAACAGACACCCTGTGAGGTGGGTGGGGCTGAGAGTGCTCTGACAGAAACTGCTCTTTTTCAAGGACAGCTCTTATGAGAGCTACGGCTTGTCCAAGGTCACACCAACCAGGTGCAAGTGGAGGAGTGGGGAATCAAACCTGTTTCTGCCAGATTAGAGTCCGCACACTTAACCACTAAGTGGTTAAGAGGAGGAGCAGGAGACTCCGCCCTTCACTCGGAGTCTCAGAGTGGCTTACAATCACCTTCCCTTCCTCTCCCCACAACAGACACCATGTGAGGTAGGTGGGGCTGAAAGAGTTATGAGAGAACAGTTCTTGAGAGAACAGCTCTGACCCACTGGCTGCACGTGGAGGAGGAGTGGGGAACCAAACCCGGTGCTCCAGATTAGAGTCCAGCACTCTTAGCCACTACAGCAAACTGGCTCTCAAAGTATGCCTCTTGTGCATGCCAACATATAACTGTTTAATCAGTGCCGGAATCTCCACCACTGGTAGGGCTGCCAAGTCCCCCCGGGGGGCGGGGAAACCCCTGCCCGGGAGGTCCGTTCCTCGGCACCACCAGATTGGGCCCCGGGGGGAACCCCACCCCCAAAGCACGTCACACGGAAGTGACGTAAGCACGTCCGGGATGTTGGGGGCGGGGCCACAATCATCCGAGGGAAAGCAAGCCGGGACTCCCCCGCTCCAGGAGAGGTGAGTACTTGGCAACCCTAACCACTAGTCATGTTCCTCACCCACATGGCTCATTCCCCCAGGCCTCAAGAGCTGAATGTCCCACCACCCCTTCCGAAGCAATGTGCGGGAGAAGCAGTGGAACTCAACGGGCGAGCACTAGAGGGGAGGCAAAGCAAAAAGCATTGCTAAAAACCGGGCGGACCGAACGCAGAGATGCAACTGCCGTAAGTGCGGATGATTTATTCATTAGCGGTCCGCATGGTCATCAATTTGCCTGCCTTACATTCCCACATGCAAAGGCTTCCACAAGCTCCCAGTGGCTCAAAAGCAGGCGCAGCTTGGCAGGCCTTTCAGAGACCAACGACAAATTTTGGACAGTGATCTAGAGGCGCAGCTAACTGTGGCATTTGCAAGGATATTAGCAAAAGCGCCCTGCTTTCGCTCGCAGCGTTGAAATTCCGGGAGGAGATAAATTGGCTCTTCACCTGTCACTGTGTAATTCCCTCCCCTGCTCATTTAACATGGCGAACCATTTCCTCATCACCCCCCCAGCCCACGTCTGTTCCTCTCCCCCTTCCCGAGCTTTTAATTATACATGCAGACAAGACGAGGGCTCGCTGTCCAAAGAGATTCCTCCCAAGGAAAGCTTTAAACAAGAAGTTGTCACAATTAAAGAAGGGAAGCAAGCGCACCCCTTCTTCCGACTTGCAAGACAGCGGAGATGGGCTGTGAGCTAATCACTAAGTCTGGGCAAACTCGTGTTGAAGGGGTTTTTTTGGCCAATCACATTCCTAGAAAGTAAGGCCGCTGCTTTACAGTTCCCCATTATCAATCCTGCTTCTCACGATGGGCTCACCAAGATTTGAAAGATACACTTCAGCATTCCTGTAAAAACCCAGCACCCCACCGTTCCTGAAACGAATTCACAAATGATTTTCGGGGTGTAAATTTCGAGAGTCAAAGCTCCAATACGTTGTCGAAAGCTTTCATGGCCAGAGTTCATTAGCCGTTGTAGATTTTCTGGGTTGTGTGGCCATGGTCTTGGCATTGTAGGACCTTACTTTTCACCAGTAGCTGTGACTGGCATCCTCAGAGGTATAACACCTTGTGTCAAGGTGAGGTTAAAATGGTAGGCAGGTAATTTATATCTACTCAGGAATGTGGGGTAGGCCGAGTCATTATCTTGTAGGATTTCCCCAGGCTGTGACCATGCTAATGGAGGAGCTTTCCTGAGGAGGCTCTTTTGTATATAGATTGTTTCCTGAGGAGGTTTCCTGTTTCCTGAAGAGGTTCTTTTGCATGTGGATTGGCTGTTGAAATTCTAATCTTATCTGTAGCTCCCTTCGTCAGACTGGACTCGAATCAAGCTGTTCTACAGACCAACAAGGATACAACAAGAACTAATTCACACATGCTCCACAGAAGGAATGGGGCATGGCCAGCCTGGAAAAGATGGCTGCCAGGGGAGACATGAGAGTACTCCACAAATATCTGAAGGGCAGGTACACGGAAGGGAGTGAAGTCTTGTTCTCTGCTGTCCCAATTTCAGTTGACAATTAGGAGAAACTTCCTATCAGGGGCCACAGTGGTCCAGCGACAGAACCAATTACCATCGAGGGCAAGGGGGACATGGGCTCTTCCTCACTGGAGAATTACAGAGACTGAAAAACCATCTGTTTTATTACAAAGGAACTTCAGGAACAGAATTGAAAGGGAAACTGCTGAATTACAAGTCATTACAACATCTGGAACAAAGACCTCCCCAGGACTCAACAGGGATATTGGTTTTTTTAAATCTCATTACATATACGAACTCGTTCAGTCCTCACATATGTATTCTCAACAAGAAGGACTATAAATCCTCTGTATTTTAGTGTTTTTCTTTTTCAGAACAGTATAGTGGAATACTGAATGGGATGTTTTGCTGACATGACCCTGCATCCACCTCAAAAAGTGCTGTTAAGTCATCTTCACGCCTGGGAGGACAGAATGGAGACTCTTGGTTTGCTTCCCACCGTTAGAAAAGACACCTTTGGACATATATCTGCTATTTTGACACATTTATGGCTTTATAACTGTTGACATTATAACCTTAGCTTGTTATTTTGGACTTGGCACATCTTAAACATCATCATGTTACATGTGAATTTCCCTGTCTATAAGTCTGAACCTGACACACCATTTCAATACCCTGAATAAGGTGCCGCTGGACTCTAAATTTGTAACAACCATCAGTCATGGATGCTCTTGCTTTGGACTTCCTGCATTTAGCAAGGGGCCAACTAGATAGGCCTTGGCCCAGCCAGATCTCAGAAGCTAACCAGGGATAGCTCTGGAATCACAGAATCGTAGAGTTGGAAGGGATTTCCAGAGCCATCTAGTTGAACTCCCTGCACAATGCAGGACATTCAAAACTACCTCCCCTCATACCCCCAGTGACCCCTGCTCCATACCCAGAAGAGGGCAAAAAACCTCCAGGATCACTGGCCTGGAGAAAATTGCTTCCTGAGCCCAAAGTGGCGATTGGCATTTCCCTGAGTGTGTAAGAAAGGGCCCTGATTGATACTTGGATGGGAGACCACCACGGAGGTCCAGGGTCAATACGCAGAGGTGGGCAATGGCAAACCATCTCTGAACATCTCTTGCCTTGAAAATCCTACAGGATTGCAATAATTCGGCTGTGACTTGATGGCAAAAAATAACACTGAATAAAAGAGAGGAGCTGCAGTGGCTCAAGTGGTTAAGATGCTGAACTGCTGGCTGTGGAAGGTCAGTGGTTCAGCAGTGCGAGACCCAGGTGCTGCATGACGGAGTGAGCTCCCGTCTCTAGTTCCAGCTCCTGCCAACCTAGCAGTTCGAAAGCAAGAAATTGCAAGTAGATAAATAGGTACCACTTCAGTGGGAAGGTAATAGCGTTCCGTGCGCCTTGGTGTTTAGTCATGCCGGCCACATGACCACGGAAACATCTTCAGACAGCGCTGGCTCTTCGGCTTGGAAACGGAGATGAGCACCGCAACCCTAGAGTCGGACTCGACTGGCTTTCGAGCAAGGGAACCTTTACCTTTACTTTAGCCTAAAAGAACACTTCAAGCTCAAGGACT